AGGTATCTCTTGAAAAATGCTTTTATGCTTTTATCTCATTCTTTGATATCCATAATGCTCAGTTCGTTTAAAGCTCGAGCATGAAAGCTAATTAATTCATTTGAGTAGTTTTAGTGTCTGAAAAGAAAGCAGAGGCTGAAGAAATGGGTCAGCAGTGAAATTTCCTCCATGTTTCCTGTTGCTTGCTGCCCTTCAGTAGTTTCCATCAAACTCGTGAATCTTATCCAAAGAACCCTCTATTATTATTGAGTCGCCAGAAAATCTTGTAATAGTCTTGTAATTATTGCTCAATCAATTTTGGAAGTTCGACCGTGGCCCCCTTATAGTTGCCTCTTAGTGTTCCATGCCTTTTTTCATAAACTCAATGAGTTCATCTAAATTCAATAATATACTCAAAGAAAAACCAAATATCAAAGCAGGAGCCACTTTTTTGGTTACAAATTAATTTGTCTTGCTCGTTTGGGGATTTTTGATCCCCAAAGCACAGATGGCGAGAGAGAGAATCCGTAATAGTCGCTTGATGATGAAAAACTCGTTGGAGGCATCTTATAAAACCCTGGATTCGCATTTTTGCTTGTCTAAAAGTCGCGAATAATAGAGCTTTCTATTTTCAATTCGGTTTATTTTTTAATTTAAAAGCAAGAAATTTGTTTTGAGGTGAAACCTGATTGCTTGGTTGAAAGCTCTGTTTCATGTTTGTTTCCTTTTGATTTCTTTTTTTTTTCGTAAACCAAAAAGTCAATTTGATTGAACCGCGTATAGTCCTTTTAAGCCCTTCTCGTTCTCTCTTATAATCTGAAAAGCCACAGATTCCTGGAAGTCTATTCTGTTGATGACAAATGCAGCTAATCAAACAGGCAGCACTTGAAACCGGGCTGTTTTGGCGTTACTCGTTTATAATCGGCTCAGGTTTGCATTCGCATGTATTACAAGAGCTAGAAACATCATAACATTGTTGAGCATTTTTCGAGCGGTTCATTTGCCTTCGCAGTGTTTTGAAATTGTGTTATATTAATCGTTTCTCGGTAATGTCTTTTTATGAATAGCTTGATTTCTTAGAGCTATCAAATGTTCCAAGCCGACCCTTGATATCTCTTAGGAAAGGTACGTGATGTTACTCCAAAAGATCTTCTGCAATTTGTCACATAAAAATCTTACTGTCTGGAAAGAAATTGAATCCACTTAACACGATACAGAATACAAAGGAAAACGTCAGGGAAAGCCACCCCCGTGTCTGTAGCCGGACAGTTCGGCTTTTCAAGAACTGCTGTAATTGACGTACTGCTCTCAAAATGTTTACATTAATAAACTCGCACATACTTGTGTAGTCAATAACAAATTTATTTTCGATAGGATAGATGTTCAGAATATTTTTGTTTTTTGTCAGTGAAGGGCTTGTCAATCTGTTAATTCTGCACCTCACAATAATTGGATATTTATTACTTCGTTTTCCTTTATTGTCAAACGTAATCAGTATGTTCAGTTGTCACTTTGTTAGGCTAAAATAGAATTTTTGTGAATTTTTGCCATGTCATTCCTCTTTTTCCTAATGCTCTCCAGATTGATAGTGATTACAATATAGTTTATGCTCATAGCATGCTGCGAAGAATGCTAAGAACTGCTACGAAATTGTCGAACGTTATTTTCTAATGATCCATTCCTTGAAGGAAACTGTAGAATTTGGGGTTGCACTGGATCAACCTAACTTATGATCTTGGCACAATCACCCGAGGTTTTTCATTAGAATTATAGCTGGTATTCGATGGCTTGAATGCTTTCTCCATAGCTTGCCACCGTAATTTGTAAGCAAGCGAGACACATTAATCAAATTTAGCAAAGGCTACATTTCCGGGAATTGCTTTATAGGGTCACTTGCTAATTAAGAACAACGGTCCTCGAGAGAAATTCTTCTAGTGCACATCGTTGATGCTATTTTGGGCTCCATGAAAACTAATTATCAGCGAAATGTTAACGAGCTTTGAACATTGCGTGACAGATGGGAGTGCGTCATGTTCACATCCTTGTAACGCCAGTCAGCTCTAATAGATTCCTCACCGAAAGAACAAATAGTTGATATAGCACAATTTTCAAAAGCATCGAACAGAAATAGAGGTTGAATTGAATGATGACGTTAGAAGACAGTTTTTCAGAATATTTGTATGCACATGAAAGACAGAAAACCTGCCGCATCCCACATAATTATGAGTACCATGTTCCACAAGAGAAAGACGATCCAAGAATATAGTGACTAATTGACATTCAACCAATAATTTAAGAGTAACAAATAATCACATTAATGATAATAATGATAGCAATAGTAATAGTAATGGTAATTTATAGGGGGCTTGCTCAAGAAGCTCACTGTTCCTCTATCCTCTACGTTCCATGTTTAAACTATGCTTCTTGTAATTTTCCCTGTTAAGATCAAATGTGGCCGAAAATCGTACATTTTCAAAACATGGTGACAACAGCCAAAACATCCATGAATGAGTTCGGATCATATTCGGATCACATTCGGATCATATTGGGATCATATTCTCAAGTTGGGTTAGCCTTTTAGTAAAACAAATTAGTACATACTTCGTTTAGCAGAAGTTCGATTTTTTTTCGAAAAATATCAACTGAATTCCGTCAAAATGCTCCTTTTGATGTTTGAAATTTAAGACGAATCTCGGAGATTCGTGACTCAAAGTGAAAAAACTTGGACAGATAAAAGTTATATAATATGATATCCTGTTACTTCTTACGTCTCTTTAACAAAGAGAGCTATAGTCCTGAAATTGTTGCATCGTTCATATAAAAGCAGGTTAACTCGGCAGGATGGTGGGACGCCTCCTGATTATGCGTATTTCAAGGTATTTTATGTGAGGTTTCTCTGTTCCCACTTTGCTGTAAAGGAGGCTGTAATTACCTCACGTAAGATAACTTTGCTTAAATATTAGTCTTTAACCGAAAAGCGAACCAAATACAAATGGAATGTTGCTAATTGTGTGCAATTACACTGAATAGTTCAAAATGAGGTCTACTGAAATCGACAACACCGCAGAAATCGAACATTGCACTACGAAACACGTGGTTTCGGGAACTTTGATCGAGTTTTTAATATACGAAACAGGAGTAACGTGCTGTTGTCTGATAGCGCTGCTTATCCCACAATTACTCACAATGACGTCATTGTGTCACTTGGACGGCGTTGCACTTCACTCACTGTGAAGTTGGACGAGCTTGAGGTTGCGCCGGCGTCCCAACGTGAGAGATTTATACAGCAGTAATCATTGAGCAGCGATGATATCTGTTTCTTGTGAACTAATGCAACAGTGAGGCTAGTTCACGTAAGTACCATACATTCTCTCTTTTAAGTAGTCTTATCGCCCAAAGAAACTTGTAGGAAGCTTGTTATAGCAATGGAATAATTCTATGCAGTTTTTTTCCAAGTGCACTGAATTAACTTCATCCAACGAGGCTCTAAAGAAATGAAAATGAAATGAGCAAATGTTGCAAAGTCATCAGCAACAAAATGTAAGGCGCAAAGATGCGAGGCTGATTTGCAATATTCAATTCTTGTTAACTACTTGATCATCAACGAACTGAAAAGATCGTTCAGAAACCTGAAATTTCGACCCCCTAAAACAGCATACTCTCCGAGAATGAAAGGCAGAGACTTAAAGAGTGTCGGGATTGAAAAATGAGTTAGAATATATTTGCCAGATCACACAGACTTTTTGGCATCACTTGACTGAAAACGATCCAAGGAATGTCTATCTGCTTGTTTTTGCAACACCAGTGACAGTGCACAGTGCTTGCTCATGGACGCCTGTTAATAAATTTAAGTGCTCTGTTGCAGGAAAATGAGCTAGGTACGCAGAGAGTTTTTACTCAGATTTATTGGTTCCTTCCTTTATATGATTAAACTTATTTCTTCCAAGAACAAACTAAAGGAAAGAGAAGCCCTGGAGGGGTGCAATGGCATATAAGAAGATTAATCATGGGTAGATTGCAATGGAGCATATCCTTTTATTTATTCATACAACTGATACAAGTCTATATCTAAATAAAACATGTCCTATGCCCATTGGAACGGATATTTGAACAAATTCTGTTCCTCCTCAACGTCGACGAAGACTGCATATTTCATAACATTTTCAAATTACCTGAAAACAATTTACCTTAACTAAGCGTTTCTCAACGGTTCTGCGAGGTACAGATATAAAGCTAATTCTGATTTACTGCTCGAAATTCTGGGGGATAACTCCTAGTAGGGTACTCAGAATTTTTCATTGTTCCACGCTCTTAACCAAATCATGTATCTCTTTATTTGAAAACCGAGCTAAAAGATTTAGCAACTTTCTCGGGCTATCTTTTCCTTAGTGAATGATCTCCAAAAGTGCAAACATGACGTATCTAGATCTCGCTTCAGTCAAGCAATTAATGTTTAAAGTGTCTTGTCGCTTTTTTTATTGCGGAATAAGACACCAAGTTTATATTCAATCAGGAGTATTTAAGGAAACTTAATTTATACCCTAGGCAAAACAAAGCACTCGCTAGAAATCTCTGATCCCGATCTCCATGCGTAAGGCGCGAAGAATTTCAATTGCAGGAACTGGTTTCTTCAACTTTAATTTTTCGTCCCAAGTCTTTTGTGACTACGCTACCAATGCATAATTTCCCTGTAGATAGGAGTATGTCGCTTGACTCCCATCAAGTGGAGAGCGCATACCACCTAGCTTGGGCGTATAGCCGCCTTCTCCCTAATTCATAGCCATTGGACATACCAATGCACGGTAAAAGAAGGGTTGATTATCCCCTCCGCGTTCCCCCTTTCCTACACTCCTCTACCCTTATTTGACGAAGTTTGCAATGTAGTAGTTGGGATACGAGGGGTCCGTGACGTCATCTAAAAAGACGAATATTAGGGAAAAAATTGTTTCTTTCGTCTTGAGGTGAACTTTTATGTCTACTGATTCCAGTTCATTCCTATTCTTCCTTACCAATAGATCAGAGCAGACACGATGTTTCTAAAATACTGCATACCACTGGCCATCTTTCTCGGGTATGGGCTTTCTAAGGGCGTGATAGATCTTTCACGGCAATTGAATGGCACTGTCACTGGTAACCAGACCCTTACGCGTGCAGATGGTCCATACTTGGTCACCAGTGACCTTGTTGTCTCAGAAAATGCTAATCTCACCATAGAGCCTGGTGCAATTCTAAATTTTGTTCCATCTGTGGGGATTCGTGTTCGTGGATCGTTTCATGCAAAAGGGACACCGTCGCAGAGAATTACTTTCCGAGCGGTTTCCTGTGGAGAAACAAATTTTTGCAATAAAACAGACGGGGCTTTATTCTACAGTCACGGGATAAGACTTGTAGGTGGATCATCCTACAACAACGGGCGCCTTCAGTTGCAGTATAATGAAAGGTGGGGGACTGTCTGCAACGACTGGGGGTCTTGGGATCTCAGGGATACGCACGTGGCCTGCAGATATCTTGGATTCCTTGGGGGAAAGCGGTATTACCAAGATCCCGGTAGCGGCCCCGTGATGATGAAGACAGTTGGCTGTAAAGGAACTGAAAAGAGTCTATGGGATTGTTCTTACAGATGGATTATGAATAATCCATATTCATGTTGTAAGTTCATTTTAGTCCTAAGCAATGCTTTTGTTGTTTGCGCATGTGCCTCTCCATGGAAATATTCTCTTTCTGGCCGCAAAGCAAGTGATTATCGACAAAACTATTTAATTTTTCCATGTCACCAAAGTAGCTTAACATCTTTCTCTGTTTAGAATTTGTTTAGCAATCAAGAGTCTCCTTAGTTGGTGATCATTTCCTTTACTTTCATGACATTTAAGTAAGATTCAGTGGTTATATTGTTAGGAGAATGAATGATCCCAGGTTCAGACTTCGCTAAGCATTTGAATGCTTGGTGTAAGCTCTTTTCAACTTTCTTCCGATTTTCTTAGACATCAGGCTGAGTTAAATTTGGATTTCGTGATGTCAAATTTTTGCTTTGAAACCAACACTGCGAAGCTGAACACTTTATGCGGCTATCGGGCAGAGGACTTTAAGTCTCGATATGAAAATAAATTTTCCTAAATGGTCAGCTCACCCACTCGACTTGAAACCCTAATACAATTTTATTAATGTTTTGAGAAACAGTGCAAGGATCGATTGAGGAAGAGGTTGTGTCGAGATCCCCAGAAACCACATCAATAAGGACTTTCGTAAAAGCCACAAGTTACAAAATCGGCTACTTTTAAGCCACTAACTACACTTCTATTTTCATCTCTTTTTTTTTCAATGACAACGACGAATATTTCAGCTCACAGTTCGGACGTTGGTATCGAGTGTGACACTCTCTTGCCATATTTGGCCGAGATTTTTTACTGGAAAGGTATTCACTTCGAACCGACGAATTCCTCTGAGAAAAAAGGAAGCTCTTCGCTGGAGCACGTGGACATTGAAAATGCTCTCGAGGGCGTAAATGCCGTGAAAAACGCTCCAGATTTCCTTCATGTTACAATCAACGATAGCGCCTCCGGCTTAAATATAAAAGAACTTGCGAAACCCTTGGCTGTATTCGATTCTTCAATCCTGGGGCCTGTGGTGGTTGGTGTGAATATCGAGAGCTCCTGCGGTAATGTTGTTATTGAAAACGTCACAGTTCAGAATGCACGATTTGGAGGAGGTCTTATCTATAAGCGCCTGGCAGTGAGTTTCTGTTCTGTCATTCCAGGGGAAGCTTCTTTTCCTTTGCTCCTAAATGCCGCTGGAAATCATCATCCGGTTAATTGTAGAAAGGTAGGATCGAGTGCGAAAAGCTTCCAACTGTGAGGAATTTAATTTTTCTATCAAACCAGGCGAATCAATCAAGGAAAACATCACGATCTCCATGAGCTGAAAGTTTTGTGAATTAGACAGGACACTTCTTCCCTGCTATAGGTAGCGTTTTTTTTTTCGAAGGGGAGGATTTTTCATGTACAATAGGGAAGATCACAATGCAAAAAGACAGCTCCTGGTCAAGAGGAGTTTCATTCCACCCCATGTGCAGAGACCAGCTTTCAACCATCCAAAATTTATAGCCAACGCTTGAAAAAATAAGTTTTCTCTGAAGGCTAGAAGAAGAAAACAGTTACATCAATGCCTCTCCTTTCATTTTCATCCGTCAAACGAAGTCATTTTGCTCCTCTTGGATGTTCAGAATATTTTTCCTCAAAAGGAAAGTATTTATAAAAGACATCTAAATGGTCAAAATGGTGAGCCAGGTTTCATGGAAGGGAGTTACCCGATCGAGCACCTCTGTAGTACTAGCCGTAACCTGTAACCTAGGGACATACTTATCTTCTAGTTAAAGAAATGAAAAAACATTTGCATTCTTCAGATTTTCAGAGCTTCACCAGGAAGAAAGATCTCTGTGTATTTGAGAACAATTAATGGGAGTGGATTTGAGTTCAATTTTACCGATGCAAGCACGGCTACCCAACTGCACAGAATTACAAGTGACTACAATGGAAGGACATTTAAGACTGGTTTTACTTTTATATTGGAACTTTCCTTCTACTCAAAAGGAAGTTCTAACTTGGAAATGGTCGTTATGGAAGATCAAGGTAGCTATATATTTCTATTTATTTCTTTAAATAAGACGAATTGGTGTATCTGCTGTTCGCTTGAACAGTTAATCACTCATTCAAAAAGGTAGTTTTCCTTTGATCAACTAGACCGTCAGTCCTGCGGTCGGTCTGTCGGTCCCTTATTCGGTCGTGTGCTTGTTCTTTCGGTGGGTGGTTCTTTCCATCAGTCAGTCGGTCGCTTACAGTCAGTTGGTCAATAGATAAGCTAGCTACTCAATAAAGATATCGACCAAAAAATTAATTAATTATTCAATACGAAGACAAAATGACTGCCCACAATAAGTCTAAAAATGTTTTTGGATGATGTATAATCCTCGAAACATTAACCCATTGGCTTTTGATCATTTTTAGGCGAGACTTCATCACTTGTGATATCTAACAGTACCTTTTCTAACAATTCTAAGTCTGGTATTACCATTGACAACTTGATTGGTAATTCTCGAATCTCCCGTACAACGGTGATAGGGAACAACTACTATGGACTCTATGCCAGCAACACACAAGGAAAAATCTCTGTTTTAACATCTATGTTTCGGCATAACAAGTATAACGGTGTTAACATAACCAAGATAACAGGTACTGTAGAATTAACTAACATCAATTCCTCGAAAAACCAAGCGTCAGGAATCGTAGTCGATAGTGGAACTCTTTCATTCCAAATGTACGACAGCCTTGTTGAAGAAAATGGCGGTCAAGGATTGCACATCTTAAACCAGGTCAACTCCACAATCAAGATTTACAACTCGCAATTTGTTCGTAACAGTAACGGTGAAGGAGTTTACTTACAGGCATTTCGCTACTGCTATGTTCGACTAGTGGAAGTACTTTCTCTGGGAAATTCGAAAAATGGGGCTCTGTTTACAAGAATATCCGATACCAGATTAAATTTAAGCTCTTGTAAATTTGATGGAAACTCAAATCAAGGAGTTTACGCTGACTACTTTTTTAGAGGAGGACTAAACTTGGAGACAATTTCTACCTCAAACAATGGCAGATCTGGTTATGCTTTCGAATTTGGGAATACCAGCATAAACATAAAGTCTTCGTCTTCTTTTGGTAACGGCATGGATGGTTTTTACGTAGAAAATCAAGGAGGAGAAATTGCCTTAAAGGATTTTGTTGCTGGTGGCAACAAACGAAACGGATTGTGGTTTCTAGATACCAAGTCAGCGCATCTTCGATCAGTTTATCTTCTAAACTGCAATGTTTCAGGGAACAGTCAATACGGTGTGCTGTTTTATCTTACTTATAGAATTGATCAACGCCCGGAGAACTATGTCATTACGGTTGCAAACTCCACAATTTTCAACAATTCTCTTGGTGGTTGTAAGATCTATCCTTCAAATTGCGGTTGGGGAAACGATCGGTGGCAGAGAAGCGTTCAACTTTTATTTACTGGTAATAAAGTAAAGGGAAACAAAAAAAATGGTTTGGATATTTATGGCCCAGAATGGTACGTGTTATCTGCTGTCTTGGCTAATAACATATATTACGAGAACAGCGGACTTGCTCTGATCGTAAGACATGGGCGAAGGTGTTCCTATGAGAATTCCTCACCCTTCAGTCTGCAGGTTTCATCGAATATCTTTTTTAAGAATAAAGGGGAGAACATACTTTTTGTTGATTGCGCAACTTTACTCACAAAATGTCGTGTCACCATCAGAAACAACACGTTCTTAGACAATCAAAGAATCCGGATTTTTTCCAGCAATCACCTTCGTGTTAAAACGCAGGCAGTCTTAGCTGTAAATGGAGGCAACGTTACCATAAAGTTTAATTCGTTTATCAATCCTTTGTTCTCTCACGAATTAGCAACTCTGCTGAAAGACCGCGAACACGTTCTTCTCGCGGAAGAAAACTGGTGGGGAACAAGAGATGAATGCAAAATAAAAGACCGAGTGTTTGACTTTGAAGATCGAGTGGAACTTGCACAGATCCAATATTATCCATTTTTGGATTCCTACAATTCTACCGGCTCTAAATTATACGATAGTGTCAGACCTTTCTGTTTTCTTCGAGGTAACAAGTTAGGAGGAACATTAAATCAAGTCCTCAATATTACAAACCAAATTTATACCTACCAAGTTGTCAGTGATGTCACAATATTGCTTGACGGCGTTTTGTTTCTCGAAGGAAACATCACTTTAGAATTTCCATTGAAGAGCGTTTTCCTAGTACAAGGAAAGGTTATTATAAAAGGTAATGAAAAAGAACGGGTGAAGTTCCTTCCAAGGAGACCATTGCAACAGGACATTAGACTCGTCGGAGGTCCTGCTCCGTGGGAAGGTGTAGTTGAAATATGGATCAACAGCAGGTGGATGCCAGTTTGTATGCGTACCTATGGATACGAGCACGACATAGTATGCAGACAATTGGGGTACGAACCGGTGAGCTCTTATTACCATGACCCAAGAGGAAAAGAGAAAATATTCTTACATAATGTCAGATGCGATACAGATCAAGGAGACAGCATCACCATTTGTAACAAAAGGAACTGGATTTCATCATCGTCATGCACAACAAATGTTTTGTATGTCGGTTGTAAAATTCCTTACTGGGCTGGCGTTCATCTTGCTGTGACTTCAAAGGAAAGCGTCTTCAGCAATGTTGAGGTGCGATATGCAGGATTTCCATATAGAGACGACCTGACTATTCCCGGAATCGCCTTCAGAGTGGACCTCCCACGTCACGTGATCAGCGGTGTCTTTGTGAGTAATTCTGCTGCCATTGGTTTCCAGTTTATGTATCCAGACCCCTTAAAAGATTCAAATGAAATCGAGAATTCAACAATAGCTGAAACCGAGTCGGATGGAGTACGTTTGGAGTCTCCGTTTATTGAGTTCCTAGGTACAAATGTTGTAAACACAAAAGGCTACGGATTTTCGTATCGTTACAACTGGAATGCTCTCAACACACACGTGGTAAAAATGGCAGATGCGACTGTGAAGAAGTTTTTGGACATATGTACTGAAAGCGAAACATTTATTAGTGACTCTAGTGCGGTGTATTACCTAGTTGTGACATTACGGAGCAGAGCAGCCTGCAAGGCCATAATTACCGTTCCACCGGAATATACGATAGGATTGCAGCTAATATATCACAATGTAGATAACATAGTTTTCCACGTGTACAATGGAACAAACAAGACAAAGGGCACTCTCTGGGATATCCATATGTTAAATTGGTACAGCCGTCCTGCTTGGATGACTGGCAATAGCTCAATCCTACTGGAGAAAGGGTATGGATACCCGGATGAAGACGACACGGTGCATTTTCTACTGTTTCTCATCAAAAGTAAGTTCAGCTATTATTTTAATCATATCGAGTTAAACAATGATCCACGTGGGTAGACTGCAATTTTGTAATTGCAAAAGTAAGCTTCAGGCTTTCACGGGCTTTGAACCCGTCCCTCAAAATAATATTTGGACGCTGTTTGCAAAAGATCTCCAAAGCCACACAGCCTGGGAGTAAGGCAAATTCTAGAGCTCTTCTTCCTCGTGGAAGAATTTTGACCACAATTTTTAGTGTAATCAAAACTATTACAAAATTCTCTAACGTGATGAGTTGTCACTAGCCCGATTCTAGCACTTATAGGACAGTGTACGCGTCATGCTTGTAATTGGACACTGTGATCTGTGTAAGTGGACAGATCGCGTCGTGAACGCCCGCTGTTTTCTCGCATTTCACCGAGTTAACTTTAGTGTTTTTTTTTTATGAAAGGTATCACCGATGTCTAGTTTCTTGCTCAAATTTTGTCGTAGTTTTAGTTGATTGGTAACAGGACTTCGTGTCGTCCGATTTTGTCTGTAATCATACTCGTGATCAACAAATCCTATTACCTCTATAAAGAGAAGTTTAAGGAAATAAACTGTTTCATTAGGAGATTGATCATTGAAAGTCAGTTACGGATCGCAATCGATGGAGATTTTCCTGAATTCGTCTTTTTCGCAAACATGCTTTATGTCAGAAAAAAGTTGTGTAAGGCTCTGATTTGTGTTCATAAACAATTATTTTTGTTTTCAACCAACAGGTGGTGGAAAGACGAAGATCAGATCACCAAACCTTGTAATATCCAAAAGCAATTTCAGCCACAACAGTGAAGGTGGAATTTTCTTGGGTGGAGATAACGCAGGAATAGTTGAAATCCAAAAAACGGACGTACGAGACTCACCCAAGAATGGCTTATCGACAGCATTTTCCCACGTTAACAGCTTGAAGCTGCTGAATTGCCAGTTCGTTAGAAACAAGATTGGAATCAAGCTCTCTTCATTTTCAGGTGACGTGAATATCGAGAACACCAAGGCTTCTAACTCGACCGAAAATGGACTATATGTGGACACGAACGGTGAAAAAACAATCCATTTTGAAAATGGTGGTGTTTCCCATAGCAATGGATATGGGTTTTTCCTGAATGGTAGATATACTAAAGTGAAACTTTCTGCAACCAGGATATTTTTTGGATGGAATAAGGCATCTTCTGTTTATTCCCGAAGTAGTTATGGTTGCAGTTCGCCTTGTTCATCCTATACCTCCTTTACAAACTGTACATTTTATGCCAACCGAGGCCCTGTAATAGACATTAATGAGTCTCCACACTCTAATCCATGGCAATTTGACGGTAACCTTTTCCTGAATAACACTCAAGGTCCTGTCATTTTGACTACGCGTTATACGAATGGATACTTCACTCCTGAATTATTTGTGAGAAATAATAGTTTCTTGTTCAACTTTTGCCAAGATAACAGCGTCATAGACATCATAGGAGGCACAAAAATTTTGGTCGTAGAAGGAAACATCTTTAAACAAAATTATGGGAGATCTGTTTATATAGAAAGAACCTCACCTTCAGGTGCAACTATAAGAGGTAACGTCTTCACAAACAACAGTTGCCTGAATAGTGGAGTCATTGAGATTCAAAGGATAAGTAAAGACATTGCAATTGTCGACAACATCCTTAAATCGAATAAAGGGCAGTTTATGGTTCTTCTCCAGTGCGAATACGTTGTAGGAGTGAACACTGGCATGAAGAATGTAACGTTTTTGAACAATTCGCTCCTGAACAACGTGGCTGTATCATCAAGTTCCCCATCCTGTCAGTTAAAAGTCTCTGGATTTACGGAATGGAGAACGGTTTTCATCAATTTCAACAGATTTAGCAGCCAAGACTTCTCAAAAGAACTTTGTGTAAGCACCCATGCTTCCTCGCATGGCAGCACAGTGCAGGCTTCACTCAATGTCTGGGGTTATGATGACGAGGAAGAAATCAAGGAGAGAATCTATGATGCTGAAGACAACTACGAACAGACATTCGTTGTTTTTCGTCCCTACATCAGTAATGCAGGGAACAGAATAAAGGGTTCGCAAGAAAATACCACCTTTAACGCACTCTCGAAAAGCTTTCTGGGAGGAAGGATATTATCCAACGTTCTTCTAAGAAAAGAGAAAAGTCCCTATACAGTTGTGTCCGATGTCACTATTCTGCCTGAAGCTTCACTTTCAATTGATCCTGGTGTTGTGGTGCATTTTATGCCAGGGGTCGGCATGTTGGTTCTTGGTTCACTATTTGTGGGCGGAAATGTAGATCAACCTGTCAAATTTTCTATTTCAAAAAGGACAAAAGATAGTGATTCTCTTAAAATTCGATTAGCTGGAGGTAAGTTCCCTTGGGAAGGACGTGTAGAGATACTACACAACTGCAATTGGACCTCACTGTGTTTCAACGAGACGCAGGGCAATAAAACTAATGACGTAAAACTGATATGTGGACACCTGGGCTATCAAGCACCATTGTCCATCAATCATTCCCATCACGAATCTTCCGGCCTTTGGAATGCTTGTGCCGCTCTTCAGTGTAAAGGAAGTGAGTTAGATTTAGCGGAATGCTCTATATCTTTCCAAAGCCTTAGCTGCAACACGTCGTGTCAACTTGTGTTGAACTGTGGCGAAGGAAGGCCTTGGGGAAATATAAGATTTCTTCGCGAAGCTAGGAACACTTCAAACCTATCAACATCAAGTTTAAAAAACCTAAGAATTGAGCACTGTGGCGACAAACATGGCCAAAACGTTGCTGCCATTGAAATGATTCAGTACGTTCCAGAAGTAAATCATGTGACCGTTCTTAACTGCACATCAGGTGGTATCAAGGTTTTGTTCCCAGAAAAAGAGGTGATTATAATGAACAGTTCCTTCGTTAATACTGGAGGGAATGGAACTGATTTTATCAGCACGAAAAACAATGTTACACTTAAAAACGTCAAATCGATAAAAAACGAGTTTGGACTGAGTTTTCATGAAGCTTACGGTGATTGGTTTAATACTATTTCATACGGGAAAGTTAATCTGTGCTCCCCACAAAAAGTGGTGAATGTCATGGATCACGATGTATTCGTTTACTTTGGGGCACCATTCGTGTCTTTCTCAGATCTAGAGGTATCCTGCCAAATAAAAGTTCAAACAGAGGCAAGCACTGGTTTTGCCATCCAGCTACTAGTCCTAAAAAATATAAGATCTTTTCGGATAGAATTGCCTGATAGACGTGATATCTTCAGGACTTATGGTAGCAGCCAAGGTCTACTCTCAAAAAGAAACTTGATCAGCTGGGATTCTTTTAGAGTCCACTTTGATGGCCGGTACAGTAGCGAAATGCTTTTGCAAGTTGAACGTGTTGATATCAAAGGTTAGTGGCTATAAAAATTTTCATTATTATTATTATTATTATTATTATTATCATCATGACCATTATCAATATCTTATCACTCTCATTATCATTACTATCGTTCTCTTTATCGTTATCGTCAGTATTCGCTATCGTTA